TTTTTTCAAGAAACCCCCAAGAAGTTTGGATTTGCATAAAAAACTTTTTTTTTTCGATTTTACACAAAAAAATTTTTTTTCAGATATTTGTACAAGATCTCTTCAATTGATTTCCCAGTTCAAATTTTTGTGTTTTTGCACAAAACCCCCCCATGAAATTTTCGGATTTTGAATAAACCCCCAAATTTTCGGATTTTGTATAAACCCCCAAATTAAAACCCTAAATTTGTTAATTTGATCATGAATCACACGAAATAAATCACAACTACCCATGATTCAACCACAAGATCATCCAAGTATATATTCAAAAATTACAAAAAAAATTTGAAATTACAAGATCAAGTTAGAAAAGATACCTTGGGGAGATGGTTGGAGGTGGAAGAAGCCCAAGAAATTACCCAAAATGTGCTTGATCTTGTGTGGGTGATTAGGGTTTGAGGGGGGGAAGAAATCGGGTTTGGGAAGATGGGTGAAAGAAAACAAGGGGAAAAAAGAAAACTGCTGCGGGTTTTTGTGCAGATCGGCTTGGGCATCGATACCAGCATCGATGCGGGCATCGATGCTGGCATCGATGCCCAAAGACATGGTGTTTGGGCCAGCCAGCCCAAACACGGTTTCTTTCTTTTTTTTTCTTTTTTTTCTTTTGGGCCTAAATTTGGGCCAGCACTTATTTTATTTTATTTTTTTGCCAGCACTTTTTTTTTTTTGTTTTATGTTGGGCCTATGTTATTAATTCAAGTTTTGTTTTGTCTTTTGTCTTTTTTTAACAAGATGAGTAATTATGTATTTGTTTTTTTTTATTCAATATTAGAAATATATATATATATATATTTAGTTTTTTTTTTAAGGAAAGAAAGAAATTTAGTTTTTTTTTTATAAAGGAAAGAAGAAAGAAAATTAGTTTTTTTTTAATATGAGAAGATAAAGAAAAAGAAAAATCCTAACTAAAACAAATCAAGGCAATCACTTTTCAATCAACTCTAACTCTAGGGTTTAGCCTAACTCCACTAGACCAGCTCCTAACCAAAAATTCCTACAGTGAAAAGATCAAAGTTTTACCCAGGTAGTTAGCCAGGTAAGGATAGTACTAGAGGGTGATCAAAGATCAATTAAGTACCTCTTTCCTTGCGGAGCGCTTTACGCAACCCCTAAACCTTGCCTTAGACACCAACTATTCTGAGAAAACTTAAACCGTTCACTTAAGGATTTCTTGTTCCTTATTGAGCTCGAATCCTTAGGGGCCAACGTCTAATGAGTTTTAGAAGGCTTGGATTTGTGAAGTGAGGAATTAGTGATTTGTGGGCTAAGGAAAGGGTGATGAAATCCCTTACCTTATCTTGATTGGGGTTTTGCCCTTAAGAATGTTTTAAGTGTGTGCCAAATCAAGTGCTACAATCACTTTGGTGAATTCCTACACTATATGAAATGCAACCCTAGAAATTAAAAGCGACTAAAAAGGATGATAAAAAGAAAATCTTTTTTTTAATTATGGTCAATAATAATCAAATGTGAGAAGATGAATTTTATTATGGTCAACAAAAATAAAATCTTTTTTTTTAAATCCTAATTGTCTCTAATTGTGAAGCTAGCTAAAGAGGGTGGAATTGAAAACTAGAAAGAAGACTTACCCGAAAGCAATGCTCCAAATTCTTGATCTTCAATCCAAGATTTTCAAGCTCCAAGCGGTTCCTTCACAAGAAAAATACACAAGTTAAAGAATCAAGTTAATAAAATCCTATTTTAGCACCTTCCCCGGCAACGGCGCCAAAAACTTGATGCGGCATAATTATGTACCAAAATTGCAAGTGCACAATTTATCAAGTTATAGTATAAAAAGATATCGATCCCACGAAGAAGGTGATTTTAAGAGATTATTAAACTTGGTTCTTATATTTTGTGCGTGACAATTAGGAATAAAGAATAAGTGTGATTGTATGAGTGGTTGTTTTGATTTATATGCAAGAGGTAATAAATTGAATTTTAGAGGAGAGAAGGAAGAATTAAAGAATAAATGAAATCACAAGGCAAGAAATATGAATTAATAAAATCAAGAAATAAAACCAAAAATGAAAAGAAAATTTAAGAAAGTTAAGATGAAGGATTCAAAAGAGGTAAGAAATCTAGAATATAATCCACTAACCAATTTCAATTACAAAATATAAACTATTCTCTTTTTATCATATTTCAACTTAGATTTATTAAGCATAGATTATCAAACCATTTAAGGAAAGTGTAACCTATCAAATTATCATCTAAGCTAAAATTACTATTCATGATAAGAACAACAACATGATAATAATCCTAGAATTCATAAGCATAACCTATCAAACCATTTAAGATAAGCATAGATTATCAAATTCTTCTTCTACCGATTAGTTCTCTAGTTGATTATCCTAACATGAACATTTTAAGTACAAGAGAATAATTCATACAATATAAAAGAAATTAGACTAGTTTCATACAATTCTAAGATTCCTACAAGAATTAAATTCACATCTTAAGAAATAAAAACAAGAAAAAGAAGACTAATTACAAAATTAAAAAGAAAAGAAAAATCTAAACTATGAACAAGAAATAAATCTAATTACAAAGAAAATAAAAATCTAAACTACAAAATAAATTGCAGAAATTAAATGCAAGAAAAATAAATCTACTCTACAAATTAAAGTGCAAAAAGAAAATAAAAAAGACAAGAAAGTAAATCTATACTACAAGCATGAATTTAAATCTAACTAATAAGCGATAATAAAGAAATTACTAAAAAGAAATAAAAGAGAAAAGAAATGCAAACCTTCAAATTGCTCTTCATCTCCATCCTCATCATTCAACAAGAGGAGAAAGAACAAATTTAAAGAGGAAAAAATTATTATTATTAATTGTAACTAAAGTTACAATTTTTGGAAGGTCTTCTCAATTAAGAGTAGCCCTCCTCTCCAAAAGGAGTTTACAAAATTTTCACACCTCTAACCCCTCACTCTCTACCCCTATTTATAGTAAACATCAGTGAATGAGAGCCATTGGATCAAAATCTTATCCAAAAACATCAATTTTCAGCCATTAATTCGCCTGCATCGATACCGCCATCGATGCAGGCATCGATGCATGCCCTTCTCCTTTTGCTGTCCGCAGCTTCTTCTTGTTGTTTGCTTTTGGGATTTGGACATTGGGCTTTTCTTGGACTCTTGGGCTTGGGCTTTGATTCATCTCTTCATTAAATACTTGAAAGAATTCATTGGGCTTCATGGCTTCATTTCTTCATTAAATTATGGGCTTTTTGTTGAGAGATGAGGGTTTTGAGATTTATTCTTCATTAACCTGCAATTAAAGATAAAAACAATTATTAGTAGTATATTTATTCATATAAAATAGATAATGAGGGTATAAAATTGTAATAAAATATGATTATCAAATTCTTCAAAGAACGGAAAACAACATATAATTCCTGCTCATAAGTACTACACTTCTACTGAGCTTCATTCAGCTTCTCACTCAAGAAAGCAATGGGGCGCTTCTCTTGAAAGAGTACTGCTCTAATACTCACACCACACGCGTCATACTCAAATTCAAAAAGCTTGTCAAAATCTGGAAACGTCAATATGGGTGCAGTAGTAATCCTCTCCTTGATAAGAGCAAAAGCAGCACTTGCCTCATCAGTCCACCCAAAAGTGCCCTTCTTCTCTAAGTAATTCGTCATGAGAGCAACTATAGAACTGAAATTACGAATGAAATGCCTATAAAAAGATGCTAACCCATGAAAGCTTCTTACTTCAGTAGCACTGTTTGGAACTGGCCAGTCTCTAATTGCCTTGACTTTATCTTCATCTACATGGATCCCATGCGAGCTTACTACGAATCCTAAGAATATCAGTTGAGTAGTCAAGAACACACACTTTTTAAGGTCAATGTAAAGCTCATTCTCCTTTAACACTTGGAAAACCTCTTGTAGATTCGACATATGCTCCTTCTCATCTTGACTATAGATGAGAATATCATC